TTACCTGAAATTCAGACTTCCTTCGAATCAGTAAAGACGACATATAGCATTTTAGCCGGTTTAGCTCGGGGGCACCTCGGGTCATTGCTATTGGTCAATCCAGTAGCTCCATTGGTTCTTTATTTTCTTTCGTTTTTTCTTTTATTTTTACTCAAAAATTCAAATATTGTAACATATATTTTTAAAACCTATATTACATGATAGATTTACAAACTGCTATTTAGGAAAATTTATTTAATGCAGTGTATAGTTTTTGCTCGCTATGTTTAAAAAAAATGTCGTGACATCTATAAACATTCATTAGTTAAAAAAATCTTCTTATTTGTAAAAAAACATTGTTTATGCAGGTTTATTCTTTTTACATAATTTTAACAATGTCTCATAAAATGGCCATACGATCCAAAAATATGTTTCATGATTTTTTTTTTTTTTAAATATACAATATAAAAAATCACATAATTAAAAAAGAGCTTCTGCCATTCAGAAAAATATTCAATATGCATTTATAATCTTAAACATATATTCACTAAATTGTTCAAACATGTATTTGGAAATATTTTCATCATGTATTTACAAAATGTTCAACGTGTATCAGAAAAAATGTTCTACATGTATACAAAAAATATACAACATGTATTGAAAAGGTAGACATGCATTTTAAAGATGATAAGGGGAAAAGGGAAAAAGAAAAAATCAGAGATAACCCTGAAGAAACACAGAAAAATAAGGGAAATACCCGCATGGAAGGGTGTAAAACCGGTTTGTACCCGCCTTAGAACCTTCTCAAAACCAATTACAGCGATCAGTTTCACTAACAATGATCTCCCTTCAGTGCCGACCCATTAGCGTGGTAGCAGAAGTGTATGGAGTAGCATGGTTTTGAAGGTTCCAGAACCTTATGTTTGGTTTTATTTTCATTTTAATTTTTATGCTCTGGTTTTCTTTGTTATTATTATTATTTTCAAATTCATACATTTATTTAATTTGTGAACATTTTTCAATTCATGGCATTTTTCTCAGATCCTAGAATAGTTTTTGAATCCACGAACATTTTCTGAATTTATGAACATTTTTCAAATAGGCAAACATTTTTTGAATTTCATGAATTTTTTTTCCTTTCGTGGTTGGATGTGTTGCACCGCAAGGAATACGACAGTGTCGCCCATGAAAGTATATGTGTGTTTCTCGCAGAAGCACATCTTTCATTTTTCATTTCTTGTGTCGATGTGCTCACCATGCATGAAGCACAACTGTGCTGTCGGTGGGAGGACACCTTCTTTGTTTCCCCTTTTAGGCCTCATTTGGTTGCAGGGTTTCCCGGGAGGATCCCCGCTGTTTCCCCCGGGCTGGAGAACCACGGGCCGAGTTGGTCCAAGAAAATTGAGTTGGTCATTTGGATCGCATCGTTCTCGGGGTAACCCTGCCCGACCCACGCCCTTTCCACGGGGAGGAAACCCACGACCCTAGAGCTCGGAGAGGAAACCCACGGCTTGAGCGAGACGAGCGAACGCAGCGGCGTAGACCAAGATCCAGCGCCCCCGACCACATCCGAGCTCCCCCGCCGGTGACAGAAGCGACGCCCACGACTCCCTCCCTCCGGTGCCAAGGATCCAAGCTCCACCCCTCCAGCGACGGCGATGGACCGTGGCCGTCACCGTTCTCCTTCCCCAGATCTCCCCTCCACCTCCATGCTCCGATCCCCTCTGGCGATGGCGACCATGACGGTTTCGCTGTAT